AGCCGCCTGCCGCTCCTGGGTGTTCCTGAGGGACTGAAAGGCAGTGCGAGCCTAAGAAGCTTGACAGCTGGGAAGTGAAATTCTGCTGCCCGTCAGCAGTACCAGGTGTCCGGCACTCCCAAGTAAAACTGCTGTAGCCGGGCGTAAATGTCCCCAGAGCCGCAGTTACACGTGGCGGCCTGGGAATGCCGTGGGTTTCAGCGGATCGGAGGCAGCGCCAGCGTGTGGGGTAGAAATGACTCGGTGAAGGGACAGTGGGGCTCGGGTCACGGCTTTGTAGGCATCTGCTTGAAAACAGCCACAGCTCGTTGAAAGCAACAGCAACAAGCCAGTGACGCAGACAGAGGTCAGAGTTGGTGAAATGGAATCATCAAATGACATAAGAAGGTTCTTGGTCCTGTGTGATTTGGTCAGTGGGTGAAGTACTGCACTGCTGACCCAGCTCGTTGCAAAGAAAAGATGTGGGTGCCCCTTGCAGGAAAATCAACAGCTAGATAAACCTTTAACAGAATAGTCAAAGATATTTTCCATGTCTTTTTCATCACAGATTTGTGTGATTGCTCATGTAACTGCCACAAAAATGCCAACCCTTAACCGACACGAAAAGGAGAAATTCTTTGTAAATGCTGAAGGAAGGAAAGAAGCTGTACCAAGTATACATGATCCCCCTACAAAGGAACTCTCTGTTGTTGTGCCTTCATACAATGAGGAAGACCGGTGTAAGATTTTTCTTATTTTGAGAAAAAGAAGAAAATCTATCTGTTGTTACTCTAATGATGCAGAGGTCAGTTGATGTTAGCAGTAGTTCTGGCAGTCCTGATTATGTATCTGATTTTGGACACAGTTTCCAGAAAACAGTCCAAGTACATTAAATTTCAAAATTAACACACTGTGTAACTTGATTTCTGCTGCTAAAAATAGCATGGGATACTTGTAGGAATCCTCTTTATTGTAGTGAAGTCAAGCAGAGTGGCTGCTCATTGCTCCTGCAAATGTTTTAGCCCAGGAAGTAGAATGAGACTTTTGAAGGGCATTTTGGAGCTTTCCTATATATATACACCATATATATATACACACACATATATATATACGTGTATATATATATGTATGTGTGTATATATATGTATATGTATGTATATATGTGTGTGTATATATATATGTGTGTGTGTGTGTATATGTATGTGTATATATATGTGTGTGTATATATATATATACACACAAAGTGCCTGATACTAAAAGATGAGGGCTTTCAGATGTGATAGAAATAGTCAAGCTGTAAAGCTGTACCTGGAAATGATGTGGTAGCACATGTCATTGCTTGTGTTAGTGAGTGAAAACTACTGAGCTGTTTGGGATTCCATTAAAAGAGATGTTGATCAAGTGGATTGACACAAGGTAGGTCTGGCCCTTTCTTGGGTCCAGTGCATTCCTCCATCCTGGTTCTCATGTACCTGTTTTCAATGAGCAAGGTCTTGATATGTTTCATGTGATTTTTCATTCAGTTGTCTCTCTTTGGAGACAGAATAATCCCATGAGATGTAGTTGGGAATGAGCATATGCTGTAAAGACAGCCATAAGACTGAAATGCCTTTCCAACCTTCAGATAAACTGGTTGCAAAATTTATGTCTGTTACTTGCCTGAAGGAATCATCATGGCCAGCAGCCTTAGAAAAAGAAGGCATGTTACTGACTAGTATTAGGAATGTCTCTATCAGCTTGCTTAAATAGATAAAATCAGTGCTGGTTTGCAGGGTCAGTCATAGAGAATGATTTTGTTTTTTATTTAATATTGGGTAGAGAGTTGCATATTTCAAAATGAACTGTTGGTTCTTTAAAATAAGTGCTTTTATCCTGTGGGATATATATGTGTGAATTTTTTCATTGTACGTTTTTGCACTCAGAAGGGACAGGACTTAGAGTTGCAGGTGTTGAACTTGTTTATTGAATCTGGTGTTGTATGAATGAGGCAATTTTCTCAGTTTCGCATTGTGGTCATGTTCAGTTTGTTTATACAAGGTGATTTTTGGTGCTTTGCCTGTTGCAATCTACTAACCTGACCTCCACGTTTTCTCTAGTACCTCTTATGATGGATGAAGCTTTGGCTTATCTAGAAAAAAGACAGGTATTTTCATTTTGTGTTCAAAATTCATTATCTGTGTATTATGTGTAGTTAGTCACTGATCTATTCACTTGATTATTTTGATCTGTATTAAAATAGTATTACTTAGCCACTTGGAAGTAACATTTCTGTCTTACATCAGTTATTTCTGGAGCTAATGCTGGAAGGTATTTTAAATGAAGTAAAAATTTAATTTACTGCTATGTGATGAAAAATCTTTGCATGCGTAATATCTCTGCAAGACAGAGATTAAGGATTAACCACACATTTATCTTTCTAAACTAAATCCTGGTTTGTTCCAACAAGTTTTGTAAGCATCTATTCTTCATTAAGATTTATCCTCTGGGTAAAAAGCCCACTGTGAAAGTTTGTGTGTTTTGTTTTGTTTGAGTTTTCTTAACAGTGATGTTGTTCTAAGCTTTCATCTTGTACAACTAAATAGATTTTTCAGTTCTAGATGATAGCTGAGGAAACCTATGACAAGCCAGTGTAATGGAAGAGGCATCAAATATGGCAAAATTATTTAATTATAATTGCCATCTTAAAAAAGTTACTACATTATATTGGGCTAACATGGATGAGTGAAAAATTGCTACAGAGAAGAGAATGCTGGTGTTTTAAAGACCTACTACCTACTTAAGAAATGGGATGAAATGCATTATTTTTGTTTATGTTTTCAAGAAACGAGATCCTTTCTTCACTTACGAAGTAATAGTAGTTGATGATGGTAGTAAAGATCAAACCACAAAGGTAAGAAAAAGACATGGCTTACCAAATAATCAGAGCTATGGATTTTTGTACTGCATTTCTGAAATATAACAATATTTTGCCTTTACAGTTTGAAGTAGTTGACAATTAAAATTCATATTTTCACATACTTTCTGTCTTTAGCCTGTAGACATTGGGGATGTCATGTGCACACATGCATATATACATGTGGTTCCTTTGTAAATACTGGTATTCTTGACTGGCAGCTGTGACAGCCATTTTCCTGCAGCTGAGATTCTAAAAATTCTAATCTTCAACTAATTTCTTATGAAATACTCTATGTGTGCATAGTAGAACTTGAGGAAGCTAAAAAGTCGCCTTGTGGGATTTTTTACTACTGCTTGGAAGATGTTCAAATTAGGTACTAAAACAAATGCAGCTTTTTCATTTATTCCCTTAAACTTTTTCTGTTAAGTATTGCTCATACGTATTTTTTTGACTGCATTGCATCCCTTCTACTGTGATTTCTAACTTGGTTCAGTATGGCTATGGGCCTCTGGCCTTATAAGGACTTGGGACAACCTTTAGAAAAAATTAGAGAACTCACTCATGCTTTCTCTTCTCCACATCATGGAACAAAATGTGCTCATCCCTGCAGTGTGAATGAGGTTTTAGAACACAGTGAATCTTCATTTAAAGCCACAGATAGCATCAAGAGAAGTGAAAAATAGGTAGCAGTAGTAGAAAATTATTTTTATTTGATTAACTATTGGTGTTGTAATAGTACATCTGTAATAGTATGACATAAATTACATCAGTTTTGAGTGTTTTGCAGTTGACTGAATGGCATTTAGAATTGCTTTGGGGAATACCATGTTTTTATTAAACATGACTAACATCTTCAATCTTCTTGTGTTTACTGTGCACTGACTTTTATTTTCCCAAACAGACTCCAGCAAGCACTGGCAATATATTTATGCCAACTGAAGTGGTTATTGCTCTATGCTATGATTTTATTTTTTTTTTAAAAAAGGGTGAGCAAACGTAAACTTCTACTTTGATTTCCTGGTTTTGTTTTATGCTGTTTTTTTGTGTGTCTATCAGGTTGCAATGAAGTACTGCAAGAAATATGGAAGCGACAAAGTGCGAGTGCTTTCTTTGGTAAAAAATCGAGGGAAAGGAGGAGCAGTCAGGATGGTAATTGATACTTTCATCTCCTTCTCTGTCTGAACTACCTGTGCCCAAATACACAAAAGATAGAGCAGTGCTGATTGACATTTTGAATTCAGTACGTTAACAAAATTATTATCAGAAAATAGAGTACAGATTCTATAAATTAAGGCAAAAACTCTTTTAAAAATAATCTTCTTTTAGATCTTAGAAACAGTATTTACTTGGCAAGAAGATCAATAATAAAGAGAGTTCTCAATATATAAGAACTGAAAAGAAAAAAAGTTAAACTTGAATTTCATGTGTTTGTTAGTTCCAGCGAGAAATAGGCTTGCATTTAAAAAGAACAACCAACCAAAAAAAAAAAAAAAACCCTTTAGAGATTAAAGTAAAGCTTTTATAGAGAAAATACAGCTAAATTTGCAAATGTTGCTTTCCAGGACATAGTTGTGGTTTTAAAAATGGTTAATGAACAAATGATCTCATCCAGTAAAGTCTGTGTTTACTAAATCCCACAGCTCTCACTCACATTCAGTAGTAGAACCAGTGCAATTTATGTTTCACATATTAATTTGCACATAGATAAAATCATCTTGCTTTAAAAATAAAATAGCTGTTGCACATCTAGAAGGAATATTTTTTTCCTAAGTTGAATGACACCTTTAATGCAATATAGCGGTACCATTTATGTGTAATGTGTGCAATGACTATATCTGTATTTGAAGCTCTATCTTTAATACGTCAGCTTAATTTTTGGATGATACACGAATAACTGACAAACAGAGAGAACAAGAAATTAGGAAGTGTGGAGAGATACAATTTTTAAGTTATTACAGGAGAAGGAGAATTATTCTCTGTGTGATACAGTTTTGCACTGCAGAACATAGAGGGAGTGTGTATCCTACGCCTTCCTTGACAGTTTTTTCCGAAGTCACACATGCTTGGTTATGACAGTGTGTTTGGCAAACCCACTGCCTATTGTTTTCCTGTCAAATATCTCTAAACAAGAACATGGCAAAACAAGCTGTGACACCTGGTGCATCACAAATGTTTTGCAGTGATACTGTGACTTGAGTTTTACTTCTCAAAACTAATTTAAGATTATGTCTTGAATTCTCTGGAAACTGCTTTTAGGAAAAAAATTGCACTGCATCCTCCTTTCCATAGCTGAAATCACAAAGAAAAGCTATCCAGTGCAGTGGCAGCTGCTGATCCTTGCTTCTTTGCACTCCCCTGTAGCAACTTGTTGTCTCTCATCTTTTTGGTTTCTAAAGCTTTTATTTTGCAAGATTGTTAACCTTTTGTGTTCATGTGTTGTCTGTCACTGTGGGACATTACTTAGTGTGTGAAGTCTCTAGGTGTTATTACAATATGAAACATAGAATGTGATTCCCTCAGCCTGTCTTCATGAGAGGGGTCCTCCAGCCTTCTGATAATTTTCATGCCCTCCTCTGTATACACTCCAACAGGTCCACAGTCCTTCTTGTTCATAATTCATATTCATAAACTGGTTTTAGTAGCAGAACATTAAGACTCACCTGTTGTGTTGAATCTTTGAGATACCACTGTTCTAGTTTCTGCATTAGGTTTTTGCAGTGTCTTGCAGCTAGCTTATGATAAATACTGATTTCAAAAGTGTTGATTTTTATTGACTATTTTGATTGCAGGGTGTCTTTAGTTCTCGGGGGAAAAAAATTCTTATGGCAGATGCAGATGGAGCTACAAAATTTGAAGATATTGAAAAAGTAGAAGATGGTCTAAAAAAACTTCAGCCATGGCCTGTGAGTATAAATTTTCATGGTTTAGCTTAATGCGCATGCATACAGATTGATTTTTATAATTCTCTTGAACTTGAGTTCTTCAAGGTCAGTTGAAGATCTAGATGTATGAAGACCTAGGTGTAAGCCTAGAAGCTGCTAGGAGGGGCTGTCAAGAGGTAGCTTCCACGGAGTACTTACCTCCTTTGCATTCACAGTCCCTGTTTCAATGCAGCACATAATAATGTTTTATTTATCATTTTTCCTTTGAAGCTGTTCTACTCGGTATAAATACCAGGTGTTGCCTCCTTAGTTAAAAAACAATTCTTTCTTCATTAAACGTTTTGTATTTTCTTTTTATCTGATGTCATCCTATGTGCCTTTAAGGAGGCATCATAATTTCACCGTATTTTTTAGAGGTTTTCTTTTCTCAGAGTTCTTAGTTTAATGACAGTATTTGGAAGAACTTTCATTGTAAATAAAAATTCAAAAACCCGTGGAACAAGGCCTCCTCCCTGCATAGTCATTCTTTTTTGGGTGCTTGACTTGAAAGAGCTGAGGTTTCTTTTCATTAACCTAGTGCTTAAATACAGAACAGTGAGGTACTTCAGCTAGTTTCCCAACCAGCCAGAGCAATGTGCTCCAGCAGGAACTGTGAGAGATGTGCCCATGTGAGTGCAGGAGCTGTTGTGTTTCCCTGACACTCTCCAATATCAAGGTGGCAGCAGTTGCTGGGTCTCCAGCATCAGTCCTGGATCAAGTCATAGAATGTCTTGGGTTGAAAGAGACCTCTAAAGGTCATGTAGTCCAACCCCCTTACCATAAGCAGAGACATCTCAAACTAGAACTGATTGCTCAGAGCCCCATCAAGTCTGACCTGGAATGTCTCCAGGGATGGGGCCCCAACCACCTTTCTAGGCAGCCTGTTCCAGTGATCCACCACCCTCATTGTAAAGAACTTTTTCGTAATGTCCAACCTAAATCTACCCTTCCCTAGCTTGAAACCGTTACGCCTTGTCCTGTCATTACATGCCCCAGTCTTCTCATAGGCCCCTTTTGCCTATTGGAATGTCACTATAAGGTCCCCCCACAGTCTTCTCTTCTTAAGGCTGAACAACCCCAATTCTCTCAGCCTGTTGCTGAGTCCATCACTTGTCTGCAGTCTCAAGTGTAGCACATTTGAGGGATTTCGTGTGACTTCTGGTTTGAAGAGCTCTTTTGATTTGAGATTGTTTTTTTGGCTGGATATCATGGCATTTTATTTTTTTGAAGGTACATCAGTGAAAACAGTACATTATTCTGTTTATCCCTCCCACAGTGCAACATTTAGAGAAAATATATATTAAGTGCCTAGGAACACTGAATGTGCATCTGTGATGTTTAACACATGTACTGCATGCATACCTCAGAAGAACAGTGTAAGCTAAACCAGACCTGAATAATTTGCAGCACTTTGTATGCACCATATGCAAAATGTAATCTATTTTAGATGATCTGTTAATTGTAGAAAAGACTGATTTTTACCTTCAGAATCTAGCAGTAGAAAGAGTGCAGCTAAAGAAGTAGGAACGTATGCTGTTTTGAAGTTGTCATTTTACAGTTTTCAGTAGAAAATTCCACTGATCCAGAATATATTAGTTTAAGTAATAACTCTTCAATTTGTATTCCTGTGCAGAACCAGATGGCTATTTCCTGTGGTTCAAGAGCTCATCTGGAGAAGGACTCAATAGCAAAGGTTTGTTTTCCTTTTCCCTCCATTTTTTTATTCTGCTTTACAAGCAAATAAACATTTTTTATTAAAAAATGGAAGTTAAAAAATAGGAAAAGCTTGTCAAAAGTTTAGCATATGCTGCATCATATATAACGGACATGTTCTAGATTTCAGTTATTTTGAACTGTTTTCACTTGGTGTTCCAAATTATGGGTTTAATTTTCCTAGTTGAGATCATCCTACAAGTAGAGCTTCTCACCCCTGACAGAATTGGTAGCTTTTACCTAGTATTGGGGTGGGACTGGAAGGCAACAGATGAGTTCATTTGTATTGATTCTCTTCCAGTGCAAGAGATCTGCAGATCTTGAGACCTGTTTGAAATGAGTTAGGGATTATTATCAGCAAACTGTGTGAATCTCAATTTGTGGGAAAGTGCTATAATTTTTCTGTATTACCCATATTAAAGTTTTGGATTTTGAACACAAAGACAGTGCTGTTCTGTGTGTGGCTTTTGTGGAATAAACAGTGATGCATAGGCTCACAGTCTTCCATCTGGTTTTCTGATGTCTTGGCAGACAGTAGTTGACAAAGCACAGGCATGGATGGAACTGATATTGCAGCAGACACATTGCTGGACTAATTTTTTCAGCATCATTTGCTCATCATGTTGAATGTTCTCAAGAGTAAGCTTTGTTTATACTGAGGTTTAATACTTGAAATTATTCTAAAATATGTACTCAACTACTAAAATAGTTACAGAAGTTTACAAGAAGTTACACTGGTAAAGTTCAGCCCTTGGTAGATCTTTGATTATTTCTTCTGGTTTATTAGGTAGTGTTGGAGTGGTTCACTGGAAAGAGTTCTTGTAATTACTGCTGCAAATGTCTTAGTATCCTCACCAAAAAAAATCCAATCATCGTTATTAGAAATTAGGATAAATCTTTGACATGGTACTTGCAGACCTGTAGCACAGAATATGCCCTTTCTAGTTATTTGTTGGCTGTGAAGCCAGTGTATGCTGGGGATGCTGGTACTACATGGAGACGATGTAGCTGATAAATTTGAGCCCAGAAAAAAATGCTTCATTGCATGGTCAGGTACTGAATATAAATAAACTTTTTTTCAGTGCATTCATGGTTCTTTTTATCTTTGAAGGTGTTACTACATGAGGGAAAGGAACTGGAACAGGACTTTTGTCTTTTAATGTGAAAGTACAATTTTTGGGATGTGTCCATCCTTTGCTTTCTGTTTATCTCCTTATTTCTGACTTTGTGATAAGGGATTCACCAACTGGTTAGGTAGGACTTCTCTGTTTGAAATAGGTAGCCCATTTCATCACCCAGCTGTCCGTAGACTGGAAAGGAAAGACCTTTAGCACATCTGGAAGAGACTGTTGTGTAGTGCAGTAGGTATGAAAAATGCAAAACAGTCTTTGAGAAGTTGGGATATTTCTCTGGGTATAACTGCATCTGAAACAGCAGAATGAAACTGTGATAAGCAGCCGTATGGGATTTATTACTAAGACTCAAATTTCACCCTTAAAGAGCATTTTTCTGAGAGGCACATGTGATTTATTTTAATTTACTTAAGCCAAAGGCTCTTATATAACAAGCTGAGCATCTTCTCATTTTTTCAAGTGAGGTTTGAAATTATTAGCTTTGAAGGCATTTCTTATCACCCAGAGATGCTTACCAGTTAAATTGTTGGCTCCCAAAGGTTTTGCATGGTATTTGCCTTGCAGTCTCAGATACAATCACCTAAATTGAGCATAAGACCTGCAGTGAGTTCAGAAGCAGTTTGAGGATCAAGAGTTCTAGTTGTTCAGGAGCTGTCTTGAATAAAAGACGAGGAGGGACCTCTGCAAACCCAGAGTCCAGCCTCTATATTCTGCAAACAAACTTACCTGTATGTATTTTATGTCAAGAGCAAAAGTGTAACCAAAGAGTAGGCTGGGAGAACGCTTACAGGAACATAAAATACATTTGTGAAATCAAAAGAACAAAAGAGGTGACTGTGTAACATTGCTGGAAGTGTAAAACAAAATACTGTCTTGCACACTAGCTGGTATTTTTGTCCTGGTTTGGCTTGGTCCATCATATACTGCAAAAAATTGCATTCTCTAGTTGCATTCCCTTAAGTGCCTTAACATAGTGTGTGCAAGCTCTGGATATCATTCAGTCAAGAATGGAAAAATTGGGTGGCAAACAATAAGAGATGCTCCCATTTTGTTCCTTTTTACAATATAAAGCTTTTTTGTGTGTGTCAGAGTAGCAGATGGAACGTGTTTAGTTTTTAGCGTGTGTGCTTAAGAATATCAGTCTAATCAGTCCTGCTTGCTTATTCTCTCTGGTTGTTTGTCCTGGTAACTTTGAATTTGCTTGACCAGTTCAAACAATTTTTAGGAAAGCAAGAGGACTGGAAAGAGCTTCACAGAATCATCCTGGTTGAAAGGGACCTTGAAGATCATGAAGTCCAACCATAACCTAAATGCCCCTACCATAACAATCTACCCGTTCAGTGCTTAAATCATGTCCCTAAGCACTATATCCACATTTCTTTGAAATACTTCCAGGGATGGTGACCCCACCACATCCCTGGACAGCCTGTTCCACTGTCCAACCACTCTTTTTTTAGTAAAGAAATCCTTTCTAAACCTTTCAATCCAAACCTCCCCTGGCTCAGCTTCAGGCCATTTCCTGTCATTTTCACTTGAGGGAAGAGGCCAACTCCCACCTCCCTACAGCCTCCTTTCAGGTAGTTGTAGAGGTCAGTGAGGTCCCCCCTCAGCCTTCTTGTCTTCAAACTAAACAATCCCAGTTCCCTCAGCTTCCCCTTATAGGACTTGTTCTCCAGACCTTTCACCAGCTTCACAGCTCTCCTCTGGACACGCTCCAGCAACTCGACATCCTTCTTGTAGTGAGGGGCCCAGAACTGCTCACAGTACTTGAGGTGTGGCCTCACCAGTGCTGAGTACAGGGGCATGATCACCTCTCTACTCCTGCTGGCCACACTATTCCTGATGTAAGCCAGGATGCTGTTGGCCTTCTTGGCCACCTGGGCACACTGCTGGCTCGTGTTAAGTCAGCTGTCGGCCAGCACCCACAGGTTCCTCTCTACCTTGTAGGTAGCTTGTAAGTGTCCAGTGGAGTAGACCATGTAACATGCCATCCCCCTCCTCCTTCACTCTTCTTTTTCCAGGGGAATTCCCAGAGAATTGTGCAGGAGGTGCTATGTCTGTCTTGCTCATTAATTGAAACCCAGGTGCAGATTCCTACTCCACTTGATAAGGCATTATCCAGAATGAAAAGCTGCTCTGAATTAGAGAAAGCAGAAAAAAGAACTTGGGGTTCTCATATCCTAGGCCAGTGTTGTAACTGTGTGCCTTACTGGAAAGTCTTTACAGCTGTAACTTTGTTTTATTTTAACAATTGAAAAGTTCTCATTTCATTCCAGTGCAAAACAGAAGCAGTTCACAAACCTCAAAAGCTATCACAGAACAGGACTAATAGTCCTGTAAGCCAGCTCTGTTCAAACAGTTCACTCAGCACTTCAGTGACACCATCTAACTTCTGGCCTTTTGTCCACAGCGCTCTTACTTCCGAACTCTTCTCATGTATGGGTTCCACTTCCTCGTGTGGTTTCTCTGCGTCAAAGAGATCCGGGACACACAGTGTGGATTTAAACTGTTAACCAGAGAAGCTGCCTTGAGGACTTTCTCAACTCTTCATATAGAACGCTGGTAAATTTTTGTTGTTGTTGTTGTTATGTTTTGTTGTTTATTTGTTTGCTTTCTAACTGAACATGGTTTTGAGAAAGTAGTTTCAGTATTGCAACTACTATGAAGCATGTGATATGTGTATAAACCCTAGCTGCTCAGTTTAACCAACTGCAGTACTAAAGGCAATTTAGATTTCTTGTTATGCTAAAATATCCAGAGAATTGCTAGGAATTCAATGTTATTATTAAGATACATTTTAGGAAGTAGTTGGTTATTTGATGCTATTCTTTCTTCTCATGATAAGGAGAAGGGGAACAGGTGAGCTTACTGTGTTTTGGTTTTAAAATAGCAGGCAACATAAACTGCAACAAGAATTTTACCTTTCTAAGATTTTAGGTGGCAACAATTTACTCCTTGCAAGTCCATTTTACTTTAGCATGTGGCATAGAAAGAGTTATGTAATACCTTATAAGACATTTTGGTTTTTCCTTGTCAGAGCAATTGGTAATTGAGTAGAAGGGGGGAGCAAACAGAAAGAAAATCGCAGTAATTCTTCTCTCTTCACCTGTAAAAGAAATTCCAAACAATTTTTTACTGCGTTGTAATCCACTTCCAATTTCTGAGTCCTCTCTGCTTTTACAGATATGAGCCATGCAAGCATAGTAAGAACTGGAGAGAAGCTCTAACTATGATACAGGGAGTTGAGAGTTACTAATCCTACTCAAAACTTGTAGCAGTCTGTATTTATGCATTACAACTTCACAACTTGCTGCTACTTAACCAAAACATTTTACCTAAAATCCATATCTGATAAGGTGTTTGTAATTGCTGAAGGCTCAGAGTGTAAGGAAATGCATACTTTGCTTATTTCCTTACTAGAATATTTCATGAGAGATAGATCTCATTAAATTACGAAAGCAGACAATTATGCATAGTCTTTGAATTACTTAAGAGTGCTCTTTCATTATAATTTAGCTAGAACGGTTCCCTTATGAGAATGGTACCCTCATGACTACTGTTCTGGGACTGAAACACTCCTTCCACACAAATACTGTCATTTTTGTAAATTTCCTACACCACAGCTGTTGCTCAAAAGGATAGCTTAGTTAAGTATAATCAAATCTTTTCTAACTATGGTCTTCATCTGAGAAAATCTCTCATGGGCTAGTGCTTGCTGCAGGGAACAGAATTACTGAACAATGTTTGTTCCCGTATACAAAACGTGTACAATTCTATAGTCTAGTCAATTCCAATACATCTAGTTTTATGTTGAGCTTTGGCAGTAACAGCTAGGGTATATTGCTCCTCCAGAATGGGGTTGCAAGGGTAGTGTTTAGGCACACAAATGTGGTGCAGAATGTAGAGCTTCTGTGGAACTGAATCTGGAATTGTGAGCAGCCAGTATTTGAAATGTCACTTTCCTAGCTGAGTGGTTTCCTTATTGCCCTCAATAAAATGATAGCTGAGCCAGAGGTGTGGCTTGGTTTTTTTTGTCAAGAAAATAGTAACTCAAATTCTTGCAATAAACAGCTCTTCAGATACTTCCAAGTCAAAAATTTGCCTAAAACAGCAGCGCATTTTTTTTTAATTAGGTTATTTTTTTTATCGCCGAAACAGGCAATAAATTTGTCTGTTCTTAAACACATCTGTCCTTCAGCAATTTGTGTACTTCCTTGCCTTCATTTTCATACTTATTGGCTAATTTAAACCAAATCTAACAGCACAGCAGACGTTTCAAGATCAAGGACTTTGGTGAGTTTTGTGGAAACTGAAACCCCTGCAGAAGAGAAAAACTCAGGTTATTGCCACTGCTGAAGAAAAACTACAATAAAGACTCAAAATTTACTTGTCAGCCTCACAGATAGCCAGTTAGCACACATAACTTGAAGATAACATGTCAGTGCACAAAACAGAGTACTACCCCTTTCCCAGTTAATAAAATCTGAAAATAAACTGGGAGATGGGGAGGTATAAGCATGTGGGGAATATGATGAAAGGCAACAACAGTCATAAGTGAAGTGTCTGTGTTGTACAGGCAGTTGGGATAATTGCAGTTAGAAATTGTGTAGGGACATCAAACATTAATCCCATAGAGCCTTACATTGAATTCCTTTGTATGCAATAATACAAGAATCTGGAATAGCCCAATAATAGAAACTTCTTATTTTAAACACATCTGGCCCTTAGTATCTTTCCATGCATAGCGTGTGTATAAAAAGGGAAATAAAAACTGGTTGGACATAATATCCTGGAGGTTCTGTACATATCATGAGCATGAAGATGTAAGAGGAGGAAATAGTAGTATTGTATTTCTGCTGACCTGTAACAATGGAAAGTCCTTAACTGGGTCACAGAAGAAATCCTTTGTACTGAGACTGTCAGCAAGGAGTTGCAGAGAAACCACTATCTTGATATTGGACAAGAGGCTTTGAAATCTGGGTTTATTTCTGCCTCTGCATCACTGCATTTGGGCTATTTGACATTTGAAAAAATTACTTGATTCTTTTTGAATCTTAAAATCTCATTAGTGAAGCACAGCTCTGTTAGGTATTGAAGGAAGAATGCAGTTAGGTTCAGTATGGTCAGTGCTCAGATATTCTGGCAATAATGGAGGAGAGTGCTTGGGAGTATTCAACAAACAAGCAGCATTTAATAGGATAAAAGCCATCTGAGAGCCAGCACCCTAGTCATTGAGTCTGTCAAGGGCTGCCCTGCTGCTGATCTGGAGTGTGTGGTGAGCTGTTGAGGAGAATGAACGTGACTCTGTTTTTGCAGAAGCCTCATCTGTCTTATCTGCACAAGTTTTGTCAGGCTTAGATTTTTTGAGGTACTGCAGCGTTAAGTGAATTCTTATGTGAGGACATAATAAATATTTAGACTAAACATTATTACATAACATATTTGTTCATGATGCTAATTTAAAAAAAATACTATAAAATTGGCTATCTCTTCCTGCCCTGAACTATCAAGCTCAGTTAGAATATAAATTCATACCCACAATGGATGGTATTTCCTTTATCGCATCTAGAGGGCATCTAACTTGTCATCTAGCCTCCCTTCTCACACAATAGAAGCAACAATTTTAGGGTATAATTAATTTAATCCTAATACAGGCCTCTAAAATACAAGGTGAAGTGCAGCTGGCAAATAACTCTTTCCTGCTCTTGACTATAAAGGGACTCTAGATATTTGCACAGAGGAGCTCTCTACTCTAGGTGACTGAAGTTCAGCAGAGTAAATTCTACTCGTAGTAATATGTAGGAAAAAAAATGTGTCAGGTTGCTGGTGCCTCCGCCAATTCAAAAGGATAAACTATTCAGTAAATTCTGAAAGTAGTGGGTTAGAAGAAAAGCTATTGAAGCAATTTTGTATCCAAGGCAGCTCGCTTTTTGGGCTGTGTAGTGTAGACTGTGCCTGTTGTTTCTGTAGACAAAAAACCCCAAGAACTCTTATCCTTGGGTAAAGGAATCCAGTAGTGTCTTTGCATATAAGACAGTACCAGTGCTGAATTAGCACTGAGCAGTAGGAGCCTGCCCTGAAGTGCTGCATATTGCCCATACTTCTCCAAAAGACAGAGCAATATTTATTCAGGAAATAGTACAGGTTTTATTTCTGTGTCTCTCAGCAGACTGGTAACATACCTCGCTTACAGAGCAGATAGTAGGAGCACAGTTTCTTTCTTGAAAGCTGAACATCTTACACTTTGATAACAGAGATGTCAGTGTGAACACCGTTGCTGTCCTGCTGCTACATTGGACAGGCTGAAGGATTTCTAGATTTCTGTACTCAAGTAGCTATCAGAGATGCCAAAAATAAATGCATATGGCGTTTTCAGTGTTTCACCAGCACCACCAGTAATGAGAGTCTTGTGTTTGCATTTCACCTTTGACATGGAAAAGAAGAGGAGAACACCGAAATCTTCCTTCATGTGATCTTACAAGCACCTTTGACAGTTTCAATATTAGTTTAATCATAAGTAAATAACTGAATGTCAGCTTCATTAAGGAGGAAAACAAATTGCTTAGAACTTAATTTTTTTTCCACTTTCCTCATGCTCTTTCTATTCCACTTGACTTTGAATTGAGCATCACCTCTTTAATGTTAAAAATACTGGAAAACTGAAGATGACAGCTTTCTTCTTGCTGTGCTGAATTTGACTCATAGATGCTTATATTTAGGAAATCTTAAAAGCAAACAGAAATAATACAAGGAGAAATACTGGTTTAGCATTTTTGTGATAAGGATCATGTAACACATTTTAAAGAGAGATCAAGGTATTCTTAGAGTATTTTGTTCATCTATCCTTAGAGTTTAGAAAACATTTTAATTTTTTTTAGATCCTGGAAGCTGTTAATATATTTGGTACTTAGTAATGATGCTTACATATTACACTAGGGGTTTTTTTTGTGAGTGTTCTCCTTGACTTTTTTGTTTAACTGTCCTTTGGAGAGCTCACTCTGTATATACCAATACAGACCAAACATTCTAGAAATTTACTTTCTAAATAGTGAAGTTTTTACATTAGTTTGAAATGAGAGCGACCTTTTGAAAAGAGAGCATATGCTTTGCATTTTAGATTCTGAATCTGATTACACCATTAAGTTATTTTTTAGAAATGGATGGAGGACATTTTTAAAATTAAAAGAAAATTTAAAAGGATATTTTAAAAACATAATAGAAATAGTTGAAATTGCTCGCTTTGAGACTCCAGAAGCAGCTTTAGTTCTACAGTCTTCACCTGAGAAATGTAACTGATCATGTTATATTTTAATGTACAGGAGGAAAACTGGAAAATTAAAGTCTCGCTGGCAGAATTTCCTATCCTAAATTTGGTCATTGATTTCTTCTGACAACAAAAAAAAACATACTGTAAATTTTCTTCCAGCCAACAAATGTCTTTCCTTACCTAGGAGAACTAGCCATAGCAGGGGTTACTGTTACACCTACAATATTGATAAAATGAGGGGAAATTCAAAACATAATTCTAGTCCTGGTCTGATTTGCATATTTTGTAAAGTGGCAATTTATAATAATACTATACAACTCAGCAGATCACTGGTTAGATCAAATTGTTGACACTATTTTTGCCTATAAAAATTGCCTCCTGCATTGAACAAGCCATGCTGTTTAAAACCTGAAACATTTAAAACCTGAAAGCTCAATGTAAAAAATCAGTTCATTCTCCAGTTTGTCACTAATATTTAAATATGAGTCTCTACATTAAAATTACAGAAAAATAAGCATTCATATTGCTACAGGTATTTTTTTTCCACTTCTTTGGCATTATAGAGCAACATGGGCAGTAGAATGAATTGTTTTTTCCTGGTTTTGTGCATGACAAGTGGAATTGTTTCTGAACATCTAATCAACACAAAAATATTTTGCTATTAGAACTCTGTTTCGTCTTGTAAAAAATCCTGCTCCTGGCAGAGATACATGGACTTTCAAAAGCCTTAGTACAGCTAGAGCAGTACTGGCAGTCTAACCCTCTTGACATCCTATTTCATTCTTAGACCTTTTTGGCCATTGAAAGTTTTCTCTGCCCACTAAGAGTTTGCTGGAATAACATACCCGGAGTGTGGAAAAGTTCTAAATTCTAGTTAAAACAGTATCACTGAAGACCTAATTTTGATATTTCAAACACTTATTATGCTGAATCAATTTAAGGGTTCAGTTTAAAAGGATTGATTTAGTTAAACACCTACCAACTTAGTGTTCAACTGAATTGTAGCCAACCTCATCTTAATTTGTAATTTAGCCAAAAGTGCTTCTTAGTGTAAAAACAACCACATGGACAAGTTTTTCTGTATTTTACACTTCATGTTTGTGTGATTTAACACATCATGGAGGCACAGTTAGAAATAGGTGGGGAAGGTGTTTGCATCATGTATTTTTGGGTGTCTAAGTTTGGGTACTTAGACTGGAACCTGAAGGCTGGAGCCAAACTTAGGTGTCCTGAGCTGCATGTCCTTCCTCCCCAGAGGTGCCTACTTTCACTCTCTGCAGCAGGATCCAATGAAGTACATGGTGTGAATCATTCCCTGTTACTTGTATCAGGGGCTCTGTCACATATTAACTAGGTACTTCATGTCAAAACACATGTAATACACTCACCAACTCATCCACTGCTGTATCGTTGATCTCCTGTAGGGTAGGCTCCAGCTAACATACTCCTGCTTAAATTCTGACTTCTGTATGGTTCTTCTGTACCACTGGGATCTAGTGGTCTGTACTATTGTTCTAACACTATTGGTGTATATAATACACTGCCATCTATATTCCCTAACTAACTATTCTAGTATGTGTATGAGGTGAACTGAAAAGTGATGGAGAACAGGGGAAGAAAAAATGTATCCCAGCAGTGTACTATGGAAGTTGTTCTCCTTTCAACTTGGAATAGGGCTTTTTTAATTCCAGGATACGTTCAGTGCTACACAAATGGCAACCACATGTAACAATATTAGTGTTCAACCTGATTAATTCCTGTGCTTTTAATCTTTTGTTTTGAGTGCTGTAGTTCACCAAACTGTTTAATGTTGTGCTGTGATGTATATACTTAAATTCCAGTAATTGGTTGTAGAAATTGTTGCAAGTAACTATTAGTTCACTAGACTAATACTTCATGTAGCAATATTTTTAGAGCAGCTCATACAGTATTATTCATCGGACAATTATTCTGTGTCTCCTTAAGATTTTTAGTCAGTTAAGTAGTAAGTATTACAAAATTAGTTTTAGTCTTAATACACATGACTCATAAACATTCAAAGGTGAATACGTGGGGGGTTTGGCTTACTACTGAAAAATGTCAGCAAAAAATTAAATAATACATCAGTAGAAGCGACTGTGGCATAATTAATAAAACAATTTTCAACCCTTATTTAAAGAAAACAGTGGAATGACAAGGCTGCTTGGAGCAGATTCAGTTCACAGAGGTAATAAAAAATACCAGCATTTATTACTGTAACTTTTTCTGTGAATAGAAAAGGCCTACGTCCTAAACAAAATCAGATTTACAAAGTTGTTCTAAATTCTCTGTCCACTGTAACTGTGGTCTCATGGAATCACAGAATGTCTTGGGTTGGAAGGGACTTCTAAAGGTCATCTAGTCCAACCTCCCTACAATAAACAGAGACATCTCACACTAGAACTGATTGCTCAGAGCCCCATCAGGCCTGACCTTGAATGTCTCCAGGGATGGGGCCTCCACCACCTCTCTAGGCAACCTGTTCCAGTGATACACCACTCTGATATTAAAAACTTTTTCCTAATGTCCAACCTAAATCTACCCTTTTCTAGCTTGAAACCATTACCCTTAACTTCGGTTTATGGTACCTTTACATGTTGGAATGCTGTCCAGAGTGACAGCAGTAACTCTCTTGTAAGATACACGTATGTTTCAAGTTCAGGCTGATGCATGTTTGGTAATGATTTCACCATCAAGGCAGGGTACTGTGCTCTGTGCTTCAGTGGGAACCTACATGTATGTGTCATACCAAAGTCCGCATTTCAAAGGAGATATATTTATTTGAGTAAATTTATAAGAAAAAGGAGGTTGGAGGGAGGTGGGTGTTGGCCTCTTCTCCCAAGTAAACAGAAATAAAACAAGAGGAAATGGCCTTAGGTTGTGCCAGGGCTGGTTTAGATTGGACATTGGGAAAAATTTAATTCACTGAAAGGGTTGTCAGGCACTGAAACAGGCTGCCCAGGGAAGTGGTGGAATCACTATCCCTTGAGGGATATAAAATACATGTAGATGTGGTGCTTATGGACATGGTTTAGTGATGGACTCGGCAGTGCAAGGTTAATTGCTGGACTCAATGATCTCAAGGGTCTGTTTCAGCCTAAATTATTCTATTATTATAATCTATATATTAGCTATGTTATATTAATTGCCCTTTCACGTGCCTCTGACCTGTAAAGCATTGGTATCAACTTCCTAACAGAACACTTCCCTCCTTAAACCTGGCCAGGGATTTAATTAACCATGCCACCATCTTTCTTCTGGAAATAAGTGTGACTGTATTTGCTATTTCCTGTTCTACTTCAGGGCGTTTGATGTGGAACTTCTTTATATAGCTCAACGGTTGAGAATACCTATAGCAGAAGTTGCTGTAAACTGGACTGAAATTGAAGGTATGGAAATTATTTATATTCTAAAACTCCTTATGTGTCAATCCAGAATGCAATATCCAAGGTTCTTCCTATGCTCTACACAGTTTTGGTAACACACAGCCTTCTTTCCATACAAATTTTGACTTTCATGTTCTTGCCAGCCTTCTGTCATGGCATGGTACAGGAAGGGTAGAGTAGCTAAAGGTAGGTAGGTACATGGTACAGTAGGCTAAGGGGTAACAAAGCAGAGAAACCCTGCACTCCCACTGGTGACAAAAGTAGGTAGTTATACTGCTGTGACAGAGCACTGCTTTGGCACATCCTCTGGCTGTAATCTGTTAATTAAAAAATTGTAAAACACTGTGCAGGAAGTCTGACCATTGTTGTTTATTGATCCGGCTCCATTTCACTGTCTTGCCTTCCAGAGTTCTCAGCCCACTGATTAAGGCCTCCTTCTGGGGCATCCTCTCTTAAGATGTGCTGTTCTTTCAGACCTCTAAGGAGGTCTCTGCTCCTGGTTTACTGGAAAGTACAGCTCCATACATCTTTCCTCATAGCAAAGCTGGCTGAAGAGATTACTGCTTGCTTCTGCTCACTTCTTCCTCTCAAATGCAGTTCCTGTTTTATTCACTTTCATATTTTTTTTCTTAATCAGAATCTCTTCTTCTCAACACAACCCCCAAACAATGGATAGTTTAGTGAGCTGCAGTGGTGATGAAGGGTGCAAGCAAGTGGAGAGCATCCTAAGCCAACTTCACTAGAAAAAAAAAAAGGTTTTCTTTCAGTGTAGTCCAACGTGGCTTGGTTTCACAGTGCGGGTTCCTTACCTTGCCTTAAGACTGGCACATTCATATATTGCTGCAAGACAGCAGGAGATGGTCCTCTGCTCCAATGTCACTAAGAAATCATTTACTTAATTACTGGTGTTCAGGTTCCTGTTTACTTGAACAAAAGTCTTGTCACAGAGAAGACAATACATCTTGTGAAGTACATGGAATTACTGTGCTGCTTGCAAACTAGAATCTTCCACTTATGGTATAATGTAATTACTGTAAAGCAGTAACTTTTGCAATATAAATTTTTATTAATGTTAAGGTCTAGGTTGTGGAACTGAATATGCTGAGAATGCAGAGGTTCATGACTACTTCAATGTGCATCTTGCCAGTGCTCATTTTTTCTAACAGTGTCCTTTTGATTTTCTTCTTCATTAATCACAGGTTCTAAGTTAGTTCCCTTTTGGAGCTGGTTGCAGATGGGCAGGGATCTTCTTTTTATACGACTGCGATATATGACTGGTGCCTGGCAGCTTGAAACAAGAAAATGTAATTAGGTTATTTACATTTTCCAAATATATTATTATACTTAATGGAACATGAGAACAGTTTCAATCAAGTGAAGTGGTGATGAAAGCTGAGGTAATTCTTCATTGCTCTTGTATGTTTCATTTTTTGCAGCATGTATGTGTTTTATAAGATGGTCAGCAGGGAATTTGTACAATGTCTTAAAAAGACAGAGCATTTCCAAAAAAGACTTTCTTATCTGGTAATCAGGTTTTTATTTCATTAAATAGTAGCTTTAACATGTCTTATAAATTCACTCAAATAAATATATCTGCTTTTGTCTCATCATACCTTTGGATTCCTCATAGATATTAAAAAGAGCCACTCTGTTCTACAAGGTGCAGTATTTTGCTGTGAATGACCACAGCCATTTGTTTCTGTAGTATCTGGTAATTTATGGCATATTGCAAGTTGGAATGGTCAATCGTGGTCAATCACGCACATTTAGATTCAATGTTACAGGAAACATTAATGAGTTTTACTGAGTTTTACTCTTGACATTCCAAATGTTTGTGTCTGAAGCTGAAACAGTTTTTCTGAGATCAAACTGCACATCATCTCCAGACTGTAGAAGGTCCAAGAGGAAGCACATGTCTCTGTAAAATGTTGTCTTCTGTGAATATATTTTGTTCATATGTACTAATTAATACTGCGTGCTCAAGGCTAGGAGTCCTTCACATCTCCAAATCTGTACTGAAAAAGGAGTGGAAATCTAATTCAGATCATACTAAAATGGGACCTAGTGTACATTAGCAATGCCAGTTTGAAGTTCTCATGCTCCAAATGGAATCAGAGAGGGAGGGAGGAGTCTTGAGTCTTTCTTAGTAAGGTTATACTCTGTTACAGTACACAAGTTTCAATAGTGCTTCCAAAACGGTTGTGGATTGCCAAAAAACCAAGCCAGTCTTTCTTTCAGAAATGTGTACAAATGTGAACAGCTTTAAAGAACGGTGTATGGTTGTGCTTTCATACATGATTTCACTGGTGATTTTTCTTATTCCTTCTGCAATATTGAATCGAGTTTTGCTCCTGTTAGAATTACCTCAGTTTTCTGTAAATTGAAGTGTTGGAATAAACTCTCAAAAAATATCTTCAGTTTGATTTTGCAGGATTTATTCTCTTGCCTAGTCCACATACATCTCTATCAGTTCTGCAGAATCAATTGCATGACTCCTCGATAGCATTGCTAGAATAAAATACCAGCTTTCCAGTTTTGGTAAAGTGACTTGGCTTGATTAAACCTGGATAACAGTAGGTTTGCCTATAATTAAAGTTGCCAATCAGTTTTCAAAAGCTGATTCCTAAAATTTTCTTCATGTCCTATCTTAAAGTTGAGCTTCTTTGAAATTTTAAGCAAAAACATAGGATCATTAAGGTTGGAAGGGACCTTAAAGATCATCAAGTTCCAACCCCTCTGCCATGAGCAAGGAACCCTAGTACTAGAGCAGGTTGCACAAAACCTTGTCCAGCCTGGCCTCAAAAACCTCCAGGGATGGGGCGTCAACAACCTCCCTGGGCAACCCATTCCAGTTCCTCACCACCCTTATAGTGAAGAATTTCTTCCTAATATCTAATCTAAATCTCTTCTCTCTCAGCTTAAAACCAAAACCATAACCCTTTTTTCAAAGGTCACCTTTTTCAAATGATGAGGCTTAGGTCATGCATTATTTTCTGCATGGTAAGTAAGCATCTGGTGACATCTTTAAAAAAAATCAGCTTTTGAATTGAATGACAAAGCTTATAAGCACTAAATATATGAGGTTTTTTTATTAATTTGTGCATTTTCTACAAAGATTTTTCAAAACATTGCAGATAAACGCTCCAGTGACTCTCCTTAATGAGAAGTCTCCTTTAGCAATTGTACATATATCATTCCAAGAAAATACTTGATATCTTCCACTTCAGGGATGCAGAGGTAAGGCCAGGTTTGCTGTCTTAAGAGATTGTGGGGTTGGATGCTGGAACTTGTTGGCAGGGAATTCTCTTATGCTTTCAGTGGATTTGAGCCATTAATAAATGTCACTACACATCTTCACAGTCCAGAGTCTCCTCTCTGGCTCTGAGGTTGATAGACCTGGCACAGCACTGGGTACATCCATATGCCTGGTGTTCCCAGCTGCCTTCCAAAGCAGTTTGCTAAATCTAAACTGTCTGTTGGAGATAGTCCGTGGCCTGCTCTGACTGCCACGCTGTGTCTGAAAATATTTTGAGAGCAGGGATAAGCAGCTGTGGGACACCCATCACAGTGTAGTTTACTTCTGTAGGTGTAGCCTGACACATTCCTTTGCAGTGGGGATAAAAGCTGAAATGGGATGAAAAAACAAAAGTAAAGTGGGACAGAAGGAGAATGGGGCAAAACAGAAAAGGAGGTGGGGGCTGAAGATTGAAAGCCAGAGTGAAACGGAAGATGAGAAGTACTGGAACTGTGGAATGGGGGTGGAACAGCAGTGGACTCGGCAAAGAGACTGGAACAAGGCAATGAGGAAGAAGACAGATCAGTTAGAAAAGGAAATGTTGCAAATGAGGGAAGGGGAATCTGAAGGGGCTTACTAAGCCTGGTTTTCCACAAGAACAGGGTTAGGACATAAATTGTCTAAAAGAAGTTGGGACTAAGGATATAGTGACATGCAGGGTATGGGCTGGAACCAAGGACCCCTTTTTTAGTTTCTGAGTCATTATTTAACCTTTATAAAATCCTTTGGCAAATCATGTATCATCTCCTCTCTGTGCCAATATATAAAGAGAAATTCTGGCTACCAGTATCAGTTTTTCTTCCAGCCCTGGTCACTGAAATGTGCAGCAGATCTACAGGCTCCAATACTGGGCTGCATGAAGGAGCGATGGAATTGTTCACAAAGATGTGGGAGATGATACAAACCCAAGTTTCAAAGAAAGGCTGCTTTTCAGAGTTTGAAAGCCAGGTATGAAGAATACAGGAAGCAAAAGTAGCATTTCTGACTCATTCCCATATTGTGTGTATGTGCTGTGAAAGGAGATACTTCATCATCACCATCATAGAATGGTTTGGGTTGGAAAGGACCTTAAAGATCATCTAGTTCCAACCCCCCTGCATGGGCAGGGACACCTCCCACTAGAACAGGTTGCTCAGGGCCCCATCCAGCCTGGCCTTGAACATTTCCAGGGTTGGGGCTTCCACAACTTCCCTGGGCAGCCTGTTCCTGTATCTTGGCACCTTCAAACTAAATAACTGCCTCCTAACATCTCAGGGTCCCAGCACACTCACCGTTACGGCTCAGGCTCAATCCCCGGGCCGGCAGTCCCGGCACCAGGCTCCGTATCGGGGCACATCCGAGGAGCAGCAGGGGGTGTCCCACACAAGAAGCATCTGAGCAGGCTGCCCTTGTTTCACCTGCTGGACTCTGCCTTTTTTACCCCCGTGACCCTCCTGTCCAGTCAATGTCACTGTCCAGAGCCAACTGGCATCCATGAGCCCCAAGTTAGGGCAGTAACTAGTAGGGGCAATGCATAACTTGTTGCCCAGCCTTCCTGCCTTGTATCACACCTGTTGTTTTGCTGTTGTCCTTGAGCAGCAGGCCTGGTTTTGGTCCACTGGCTGGGTATAATCAGCAGAAGGCCTTTGCTGGCTTAAAAGGCATTTGGTTTAGACATATGTGGGGAAGAAGAACCATTTCCCACAATTCTCCTTTACCAGATAAAATAAGACAGACATATGGTCCTTTTCCCTCTTGCCCAAATGGTCAACACATTCAAAGAGGGTGTTTGAGGTACAGATTCTGTGCCTTTGTTGTTTAAGCCCACATCCAAGCCCACCTCTTAAGAGATGGTGAAGGAATTCCCAAACCCTTCTGTAAATTACTTCAGAGGAATATTTAGACAGTTCAGTTACACATGGATGGCAGTATCCCTATCTTGTAGCAGAGTTTAAAAAATTGAGTTCCAATTCTGCCACAGTGTGTTGAGGGTTGAAACACTATTGGTTCCTTTTCTGAGAACTGGGTTTTTTTGTGTGGAATGGTCTCAGGTCTGGAATAGGTACCTGCACTCATTGAATCAATTGTTCAAAGCTTTCTCTGAAGCAGCACCAACAAGGGAGACTTACTGTAGCTGAGACAGATGGTTGTCTTTGACTTCTGTCACTCACACAGTGATTAGAAGTCTTTTGGGCAGTGTATTCAACTCCTTGTATTTCCAGATTATGACATAGGAGACACACAGGCTGTCACAGGAGACCAGGACTCCACCAGGTTCATACTCTAACAGAAGGTTAGACTCATGCTTGGTTTTAGGTTTTTGCTCATAGTCAGTTTTTACCATTCCTCTAACTGTGTGTTGGAAAGGTACATGTAAATATCTTGAAGCAAAGGTGCACTTTCTGTCTGGATCCCAACAAGGAACAAATAAAAGAATAAAACTAAAGTGCACAATATCCTGTCCCAAGTGACATTTAGTACACTGGAGAAACTAAAAAATATTTTAAAGTCCATATTTTACATGTCTTCAGATCAGGCCACAGCAGAGTGAAGACTTTGAACACTGACAAATTTCAGAAAGTCAGAGGTCTTAAATCCACTTGTGTCTTGAGCCCTATATCAATATGTAGGTCAACATTAACTCAATCCAAGTATCTACTGAATGTGGAGAAAAGAAAGCACAGTGACTTGTATGCATTGAAAACTGTTAAGCAAATATGAGGGATAATGAGATATTTTGAAAAACAGCTATGCAATGGCTATGAATTATGATGAGCTGACCCCAAATTACAGTATTAATTACACAAGCAGCAGTCTGACACCAAAACATTTTACACCAACAGAAGAGATTTATAGAAATGTCAGAAGGAGAGCGATGGGAAATATAACTCAATTGCCAGGAATCAGATCCTTTAAAAGTTAAAAACACATCTAATAGAAATCTGTAGCTGCCAGAGAAGCCCTGTCTTTGCATGAAATATATATCCTGACAGTCATTCACATTCTGATCTTCCCCAAGCTTTTACCTTAAAAGGAAG